ACTCTATAGATTGCTTCAGGTAGCATGGACATTTTAATGATGTTAATTCTATCAAATCATGAACATGTTATATTCTTCCACTTGTTCATATCTTTTTCTATCTCTTTTTTTCATTGTCCTGTAGTTTTCTGCTTGTAAGTCTTTTACTTCCTTGGTTAAGTTTATTCCTAAGTATGTTAACTTATTGGTTAAGTATATTCCTAAGTATCTTTATTTTGGAGGGAGGAAAGTAGGAAGAGATTAACCAAATAACTTATATGCTTATATGCATTACCACGGACACAAACAATAATGCGGTGAAGGGGTGGGAACAGAGTGGAGGGGATCAATGGAGGAAAAAAGGGGACATCTGTAATACTCTTAATGATAGATAAATTTTAAAAATGCTTTCATATCTTTCAAACTAAGAATGTAGAAAACAAAGATAATTGCTTTTGAAGATATTCTTTCAAAGGGGGATGATAAAAAAAAAAACAACACACAAAACTATTGGCACCAAACTTCCTCTTCAAGTTTGTTTATTAAAATCCACCTAGCTATAGAAAGCCAACCTTATAGATCCTGGAGAACATATATTACAAATGTGAATGCTGTGGTGAAATTGTTGTGTGTTTTTTTGTGTTTTTCTTTTAAATACATTTTATTGATTTCAGAGAGGAAGGGAGAGGGAGAGAGATAGAAACATCAATGATGAGAGAAAAATCATTGATTGGCTGCCTCCTGCATGCCCCCCACTGGAGATCGAGCCTGCAACCCAGGCATGTGCCCTTGACTGGAATTGAACCTGGAACCCTTTGGTCCCCAGGCCAATGCTCTATCCACTGAGCAAATCTGGCCAGGGTGAAATTGTATTTTGACAAGCTTCTAAAATTGTGTCCCATCTGAGAGAAATTATAGGTTTAAGCTTACAACTTGCTTTTAAAACTTGATTTTGTATAAAACATCTGAAATAAGTTTGCCTAGAAAGAAATCAGTGTATGATAAAGATGAAAAAAAATGTTTTCAGAACTACCCCATGAAAATTCAGCTACTTCTTGGATGAACATCATCTTTAGATATAAAAAAGTAAACATAGAGAATTCAGAAACTCAATATATTCTTTCTGGATTCTATTATATGCATATTTTTATTATAAATTATGGCATATCTTCTTATATACTGTGCATATTTTGTAGTTTGATGGGAAAATATCCTTTGAGGAATATTTTAGCCAAAACTAAATTAAAATTGTAAGGCATATGTAACAGAAAACTGAAAAAGAACCTCAAATCTTTATTGGTATTTATTATTTTGAAGTATCATGTTGATTTTATATTGTAAGAATCATCCTAGCAATTAAGTTTTAAATAGTTTTTAGTCCATGACTATTTTTTAGAATAACTTAATTCATTATATCTACAAAAGGTTATTTACCTTAATACAAACATTATGGTGTATTTTTTCTACTATAGTTTCCTTGTATATATAAACTTTGAAAACACGAGATATGCTTTAGACTATTTGGAATGAACTACTTAGAATACATGTAGAGGGTGGGATGTCCTTTTTCAACTCACACAGAACCTATGGTGTAGTTAGTGGTATCCCTCAGTGGACAAGATATTTGTTGCATAATCATCTCAAACACAAAAGACTTAGGATATGACCCAAGAATCCCTAATATTCTTTAAAAATGATATTTTAGAGATTGATCATCCAAATATATTTATATTTTCCAATCTATACACATCTTATAAGTGCTTAATTTTATTTGTACCCAAACTGGCCTTGTGAAGCTAACTTCATAGTCTCATATGTTTTAGGAAGAAGGATGATGATTATCTAAAACAAATTTTCTGAAATTGCACTCAAGAATATTATATAACTGTCCTCATGAAAAAAGCATTCAAGAATGAAATAACTTTGGTATATATTAGAATAAACAAAGATAAACCTCAAAAAAATAATGTGTACTGTGATTCTTAATAGGAAAATGCAGTAAGCAGTGTTTGGAAAATATGATATACGTTATACAGGTCTATACATTACACAGAGGGTTGTGCACTACTCATTTCAGATGTGCTTATCTCGACACTTTCTCAGTTCATAATATATGTGGATAGCAGAAATCAAAACCATATATGGTATTGTCAGTACCTACATATTATGGTTTTAATACAAATGAAATCATGTCATATAGAGTCCTTTATGAGAATACAGTGCAGTTGGTTGACTTTTAGGTTATTGAACATTGTCCTTGGTAAATTCTATAATGTACTCTAAATCTTCCTACTGATGTCCAGAGTAAAATTCACCCAAGGCAATGTACAATAAAACATTTCTTGTGTCATAGGATGATTTGAGCAAAGACACGCAGGGAGCCAGAATATATAAATACATTTTAACCTCTTAACTAGATTATAATCTCCTCGAGTATATGGCTTAGATATGATACCTTAATGTAGCCTTGGCAAATAATGAAGTCCTTACATATTATAGGAACTCAAAGGTTTCCTACTACTTACTATGACATATAAATATATTCTATCATAATTGATCAGACTTGTTCATCTTTTAACCATGAATAGATATAGAAGTAAACATAGAGAATTCAGACACTCAACTAAAACGACAGAAAGAAATACTGAGAAGCAGTGATATATTGACAACCATCATTCCTCACAATGTTTATGAGAACAGGGCCTGCAACCCTCATTGCACTTCAGTGAGACAGCATTTTTTCAGTGATGTCACTTTGTTCTGTTCTGTTTTGTTTTCCTTTTCATTCCAAACCCTCCTCTCAGACTTTTATCCACAGGGTTGATGTTGGGTGCAAAATCATCGTGTGTGTGTGTGTCTGTGCCTGTGTCTGTGTGTCTGTGTGTATACACATGGGTGTGCCCATGAAGACATTTTAAGGAGAAGAATGTAACTCAATTCTGATTTCAGGATTAAGATGTACCTCTTCTCATATTTCATTCCTTCTTCTCTGTTCATCCTAAGTATTCTAGGAAATCAAATATGGACAACATATGGAAAATCACTGACTATAGTAATAAGGAAAGTATCTTATTAGCTTAAGTGGAAACTTGTTTAGCCATTAGCTTTATTGCCTAACTTACATAATCCACTTACATAAAAAAAATTCTCAGCTCATATGTGTTCTAAATTACAGAGGACAAAAAAGGAAGCTGAAAACATTGAGATGCCCTCAAAAATGAATTTTTCATTAAAAAACTATTTGTACTATTTTTTAGGTCTACTCCTCTCTCCACCAACTTCTCTAAATGAGAAAAGTTATATGAAGTAAGGAAGCAAAGAATCCTCTATCTTTTGCATCTTATCATGGTATAATTATAATTAGTGTTGATTTGTTAAGTGGCATTTTCCCAGAAAGTAAAATTGGCTCTAATGCGATAACACTGTTTCTTCCAATCCCCTTTGTATAAAATCATAGTCAATGGTTGTTGAGCCGCCTAATGTTTCTCTCTTCTATAATATTTTTTACCTCAAAAATCACATAGCCAAATTTTTCCCGAAGATAAAAATCTGAGGAATCCTTTTCTCTTGAAATTTAAAGAAAATAACAATGGACCCACAAATTATTCTTTCAATGGGTTAGCAATATGAATTCTATGAACTAATAATACTTTATAGCATAGGACTCAAGGTACTTGGCTCTATTGTGAACAAAAAAAAATTACCTCAAGATGCATTGTTTTATAATTATTTTAGTAAATTGTTTTCAGTGATTGAAAGTGGAAAAGTTCTGTTTAAGACCTACTTATTGATATTCTTGCTAAACTAAATAGGTTTTGAAATATAACAACTTATAGCTATTTCAATAAAAAGAAATCTATTAAGTATAATTTTCACCCTTGATCCTAAGCAACTTAATATGGCTACATTCTTTAGCTCTTCTAATTTTTTTTAATTTTTATTTTAGAGACCTTATCCTGTTAGGACCAGATACTTAAAACATCAGAGGTAAAGATCAACCATGTTCTATTAATATTTTTATCAGTTGAAATTGCACACGTAGGTGAGCAGAGTATGATTTTGTTAATTAACAGTAGATAATTATTCTCAATTTTTTTCAAAAGATGAGCTCAGTGCAGGGAAATCCAGGAAGAAGGAATGTTTTAGGATCCATTCCACTGCACATCATGAAAATGTGTGATACTATCAGACTTTCAGAGTATTAGTAATGCAGTTACTTTTGTTTTGAACATTTATTTCTTGGGCTTTTCATGAAACCCAAAATTCTTCCAGCGAAACTTCTCTTTCTGTAAACTAGTTAAGAACAAATATAAAATATGGGTTGTCCATAGTGAGTCTGCTTTACTAAATGAAGGTGGCACTTGGATTCCTGGGTTCTTTTCCCTTTCAGCAGGGTACCTGGCCTTGGAAGGACACAAGAGCCCTCTTGGTGATTTAAACAAAATGTAAATTTCTTACAGCTCATAATGTAAACGAGGGTGTGAATTTTGTTATCATATCCACTCAATCCTACTCTGAAAGCCAACCAAACCACACACTACAGCCACTGGGGAAAATGCAGCTGGCTTTCTGTTTTGTTTTATTTTATTTTTTGTAAATAAATTTTTTGGAACGTAGCCATACTCATTTGTTTACATAGCGTTCACACTCCAGTATAACGACGTTGTTGAGCGGATGTGACAGACAGTGTCCTGTGTAGTCTGATATATTTATTACCTGTCTCTTTATGGAAAAACTTTCTGACGCTGGCCTAAAGGATCTCTGTGGATTTAATCATACCAGAAGGAAATTCCTGCAAATGTGACTGAGCTATCTTTAAGATGATGACTATATTTATCACCTATGTCTTATAATATTCAATAGTTAAATGTTCAACCCACTTCAGTCTGTGACTTTAATGAAATGTCAGTGTTTCTGTTAGTTGACCCAGACTGTATTTCAGCAAGAATATTCAGCAAGCTGGTTGCATTTTTATACCACGGGCATAGACCCAATTTATAGAAACAGTATTGCTGACTCACCTGATTCTACCCCTGGGGCGCTCAGACTGCTCTGACATAAAGCTTGTGCTGCTGAGGCGAGAGGCACTGCTGGTTCTGGAAATGGCGGACACATCACTGACATCACTATCTGATGATTTGGCAGAGACGTTATCACAGCTTCTGTACTGATCTTTATGTATGCTATACTAAAGATTAAAAACAAGAAAGCATGAGCTCCATCATCAGATCGGGGAAACAGACACATACATGGTGAGGATAATGACTCTTTAGCCAACACCAAACAAATGTGTATCTTTGTAAAAGTAGGTGTGGCATCTAAAACAATCCAAATATTAACATAATATATGATTTCCAATGGAAAACTCCTACATCCCTTGAGTGGTAAGGAATGTTTCTGGAGACTGAATTATAAATTAAACACAAAAATGAAATGTGTGTTCCATTGCTTGGGTGGAAAACTCATTGAATTGTTTGTACATGCTTTAAACCTCAAAATTTTATTTTATTTTTTTCTAGGACATCAGTTTCTCTTTTCTTGCTTTAGTTTTCATTATTGCCTATTTTATTCACTTTCTACTCTTTCCATGGTAAAGACTGCTTCCATCTGTCTGTACTTCTTGTTTCTTTCCAAAACTATTCAATTTACCTAAACATCTCCCTTTTCTATGACATTGCGCTCTTTCAAATTTCTTCAAAAAGTGTATCTCTTCACAAAAATGGCTGACATTACAACTTAGGGGCTGTGCCCAAGAGGAGTAACACAATGGCAGCAAAAAGTAGACTTTGCTTTTAAACTTTCTATTATAGCTTAATTAGACATTTTCTGATGTAAACTATCAACTCTGCAAAAAGTAAAAAATGGGATTCCTATTAAAGTTTCAACATGCACTCTAGCTTATATTTAAATGTTTAAATTTGTCTTTGGTATTCAATACCTAAGATTTTAGAATCATTAGGAAAAAGGTTAAAACCTGAAAAGCTATGAAAACAGTTAATCTACTCCTCTTTCTATGTCCCTGTCTCATTGTAACTGATCACACAGTGGATAATGTTACATACTATTTTAATGTTTTAATTATAAATATTGTACGTTTATATGATTATATATAATTTGACAATACCTAATATATAAGTGATTCTCTTATGTTAGGTATTGGAAGATCAGATTATTTCTTATATACAAGAGCACACAGGTAAAATAAACACATGACTAAACATTGAGTATTTAAGTTTCTTATCATGCTATTGAAATTTAGATTTATGTGTTAAGGTGTGAAATGTTTGATAAGCCTGTAGAAAAAAATCACCCATCCTCTGATTCTCCACATTAGATGATTTTTAATGAATCTAAAAATAATCCAAACACTAGATTTCTAAAAATTTGTTTAACAATTGTCTTGCTAAAGTATATAACATAAACTGATGCTAAAACCTGATCCTGAATATACAAAAAGAGGTATAATAGAATATTTTAAAAAAACACAATCCTAGACGACGGGAATCATGTTTATTTAACGTGATTTACCATCAGAGTAGTTAGGGCTTAAGAAAATTAATTGTTAGTTTTAATTTTTCATTTCTCATGTGTAAGTAATGGACATAAAAACAATTCCAAATTTATAGAATATCCATACATTATATTTCCAAAGAATTTTTCAGAACTGTGTGATTTTTTGAAAGCTGTATGCATGACCCAAACGAAAATTAATATGTATATTATGTCCAGAACTGAGCTATTTATACAACTTCATGTATGTTCTGAAAGTAATATGATTTAAGATAATGTATGCAAAGTAATGTGATAAGGTTTATCACTAAATCCTGTGATCATGATAGCATGATCCTGACTGACATAATTCATCTCAGTAAGAACTGGTTTTTATTTACAGAGCAGATGTGGTAAAACCTCATTATACTCACATAGTAGAACCTGGATTTAATACTGTTACCGGAGTATAAATACAACTCATATTATTTGTTTTTGAAACTATTTTGCTAAGTAGATATATTATGCAATTATCATAATGCTTCTAACCATATTGAAATAATAACTTGCCTGTGACAGAGTACAGGAAGAACTGGGCCCTAAAACCATAAAAATCCACCCACCAGCAGCAGATTTTCTGACATTGTGTTCACACCCCTAACAGATGCTCCCCTTACCTGACAAATGTCAATAAGTAGTATAGACTATGGCATAAGGATATATGAGTGTACATGGCACCATTTATTCAGCTAAGAAGTCTCCTTTTCTATAAGCCATCTCTGCCTTAACCTTTTTGTATATAACCTTTGATATTCCAGCAAAGAGATAAAAGGAAGGGATTTTTAAAAGACTGTAGAACATACTAAAATTTCCTATACTGGGGTAAGGAATGATTCTGAAATGAGATCACAGTTTTCTTTACTTTTTCACTACTTTATTTATTTTCAAGTCTTGTTAAAAGTTTAAATCATAACTTTGCCTTTTTATCAAGCATAACTTGTTACATTTCCTAATTAAAAATTAAATATTTTAATGGAATTATATTATATTTTGAGAAACATAATATCCTCAGGAAGAATGTATGCTGATCACATAGCAGGCAAGTAAGTCCTTGATGTAGGAGAGGCTCTAATTATAGGGCTGCTATTTTTATAAGGGAATAATAATAAATGTTCAGCAGCTACTTACAATCCTCATCACGTCAATTTTAGTTGCTGTTCCTGGTTTACATAGGCACTATTTTTAAGTTGTGAGTTCCTAAATACAAATTCACCCCTAAAATATGAATTTCACTGCATTGAGGCATACAACTCTGTATAACATCAATGAAAAAAAAATAGCATGGGGATCACATTTCAGGGATACCAAAGTCGTTTCGTGTTCTTTTGTTTTTTGTTTTTCAAAAGCAAAGTTAGGCTAATTCCTTACGCAGGATGGATGACAGGGTCAGTCAGCCTTTTAAAGGAGATGCCAGGTTTGTAACATCTAAGGAATAGTTTTCTGGTAATTCTTGACCCTGAAAATATTTAGTTCTACTGGTTGTTTAGTTATAAATATTTTGAGAATGATGAAGTAATTTCTAATTTGACTGAGTTTCAACTAAGGTGTACTGCTTCATCCAAAATGCCAAATAGTTTAGGATGCTAAAAAAAGAATAAAGGGATACAGTTCAAAATTAAATATTTATTAAATTTACAACAAAGCTAGCTCTTTTTTGTTATTTATATCAGAGAGAAAAGGAGAGGGAGAGAGAGATAGAAACATCAATGATGAGAGAGAATCATTGATCAGCTCCCTCCTGCCCACCTCACACTGGGCAATGAGCCCGCAACCGGGGTATATGCCCTGACTGGGAATTGAACTGTGACCTCCTGGTTCAAGGGTCGATGCGCAACCACTGAGCACACTGGCAGGGCTTATATATATAAATAAACATATTTTTGTAGAGTAAATTATAAAGAGGTTGGGGTAAATGGATAAAAAAATAAAAAAGTACATGAGAGAGATTTGAGGTAACTGGAAACTAAAAATTTTATTATAAGCATTAGGCTATAATATGAATATTAGAATTGTGAAGAGTATTTACCTTTTACTTGACATATAAAATAAAAAACTAATCATTTGTTAATTTGTCTTATATATTTTTACTATCCTATACTTTTATAACTTTTTAAAAGATATATCTTTGATCTCACATTTATTGATATAACTTATACTCATTTATGTAAATAGTGTAGCATCAGTTTATGAAGTCAGTAAGAGCAACAGTAATGTATTTAAAAGTAATGTGGGTTTTTTTTAATATTCAAATGAGGGGGGGAAAGAATGCCTGTGTAAAGGAGGCAGGGAAATAATTAAATTGTTTGCAAACGAAAAACTGGAGAAGAGCCTCTGAATCAAACTGGAGTACAGTGCCCATTTCAGTGATGCAAAAGCAGGACAGGTGGTAGCTAACTTCCAGTCAGGAGTGCCAGGGCTCATTCATCACTCTGAAGAAAGGCTGCATGAATTTTAACATTGCCTCCTTTCTTCTGAACCTCGATTTTCATAAATTTGATAAAAAAAAGAGCTGTAATAAAGAATTATTCTGGGGCCTCCTGGTGCTTACCACACTGTGTTATCACACTGACTGTACAGAAATAGGAGGCCAGGTAAACCTACCCCATATACACCTCAGCTCAGGCCCTTTGCCTAGTCTGTATTGTGAATGGGAAGACACTGAGAAAAAAAATATTCTGAATTAGTTTTAAGGCCAGAGAACTTGGAATTTCCCAAGCAAGATAAACCTACTTTTGATTTATTACAAATATAAGTATTAGTGGTCACTGGGACTTGTAGCACACTTCACTTTGTAGATTTTTTTAATCAATTGATTAATATTAGAGCCCTAATCAGAATGACTCAGAAAGGCTTTTAATATTTTATACTGATTCTCTATTTACTTCTTTCTTGCCTCCTATTCTGGCCCCACCTCCTCCTGCTGTTGTATTTGACCTCATCCTTGGACATAATGCTAAGAAATCAGTGAAACATTTCCAAATAACTGCATCTGACGGAGGAAGAAGAAAGCCTAAATCACCCTGCCTCCTAACTCTTCCTGCATTTGTAGCAAAAGGAAACAAAATGATAATGATATCCATACAGCAGACAGACAAGCAAGCCGAGTGAGTGATAATAAACCACAGAGAAGACAGGAGGAGCTGGAGTCAGCAACTCTATGGAACATCAAGGTATTTTTGTTACTAATTTGTTTTGCTTTCCTAATTTTACTTTGTTGTTTCAAAGTCCTCCCAAATCAGGCCACACTGAGTCACGGTGGCCATGAGCATTCTCTCAGTTGGAAATCTTTCTGCAGCTAACCTAAAATGTAAAGTGATACTGCGTCTAATACGCATGACTCTATGGAAGTCTGGTGACAAATCATATTTGGTAAACACTTTTTTGTATTAGTCTCTGAATATCTGGCTATATAATGAACAGCCTCCATTATTTAAAAATAAGTAGGTGTTTTTCACCCTTCCTCCCAATCCCTTCTGCCTGGCAACCATCGGTTTATTCTCTACATCTATGACGTTGTTTTTGTTATGTTTGTTCATTTGTTTTCTTTTCACATATAAGTGAAATCATATGGTATTTTCCTTCCATGTCTAACTTATTTCAGTTAGCACAAGACCCTCTAGGTTCATCTATGTTGTTGCTAGTGACAAAATTTCATTCTTTTTTATGGTTATGTAATATTCCATCATATATAAGTATATAACATCTTCTTTATTCATCTATCAATGGGAAACTGGTGTGTTTCCATATTGGCTATTGTAAATAATGCTGCAATGATAATAAGGGTAATATACATACTTGGGGGGAATAATATCCTCATAACTGTATGATGGCAGATGGTTACTAGGCTTACTGTGGTGATCAAAGTGTTAAATATTTAAATGTTGAATTACTTTGTCACACACCTGAAAGTAATGTAATATTGTATGCTAACTATATTTTAAGAAATATAAGTAGATTTTTCTAGGTTCACATTTCAAGCTAACAATATTTAGTATAGTTTTACTTAATTTTTAATTTTTAATTTTTAAAAGGTCATAACTTCCAAAAGGGTTTCTTGATATCAAATTATAACACGGTTTTTCCTGTAATGGCCCCTGCCACTTTTGTAGTATTCTAAAAATAAGATTTTCAAATAAATCAGATAATATATATAAATTATATCCTGCAATATGGAATTTAATTCATATAAGATATTAATTAAAATTATTAGATGATGGCTAGCAGTTTATAAACTCCTTAGTGTATTCTTACAAAATGATATTGAAGTATAAATTGTATATTTATAGAGACGTGGAATTGTGTGGATTTCTGTTTCTAATAGTTTAAAATCAGTTACTTATCTTACTAAAAACAGACAATAAGAAATCTCACATCACACAATTTTAGTCATTGGGTAACAAATTTCAATAGTAAATATCAACCAAAAATGTTATTTAAGACTATAAACCTGTAACTTAATAGTTAAATGCAATATTAAATGATATTCAAGCAATCAAATTGTTTTATTTATCTTGCTTATTTATGTGATTCTGTCTATGGATAATCTATCATTAAGTGACTTTATTTTTTTTTAATTTATTGGGGTGACACCGGTTTCAAGAGTACAATTCTGTAACACTTCATCTGCATATTGCATTATGTGTTCACCACCCAAAGTCAAGTCTCCTCTATCACCAGTTATCCCCTTTATTCTTTTCTACCTCCACCCCCCTTCTTTCCCCTCTGGTAATTACCACACTGTTGTGTGACTTTAATATCAAGTGTTTACATTTTCTTTTTAGAAAAAAGAAAACCCACACATATTAAATCCAAGTTAATGAAGTTATATTTTGTGGAAATAGCAAGAAAAGGGGGTTATGAGACAAGACTAGCATTTGAATCACTTCTCTCATATATCTCGGTGCTTGCTAGTCCTATACACACTGTACATTTATAAAAAGGAGGCTATTGGTTGGGTACTACTAGTTTTACCTTGGAATATTGCTCGCGATCAAGTTCTTGACTAGAACCAGACCCTGTTGTCTGCTTAAATCGATGCACTTTCATTTTCATCTGTCTTGTTCGCTCCTCCACTACTAAGCTTGCTGCAAAAACACACAATGGAAGCCTATTAAAACATGTGAAGCACCTTTTAGAAACTGAATGGTTTTTAAGATTTTAATGCTTTCGCTATGACTTCAGTTAAATGAAGCTTAGAAATAACACATTAGCAAATTTAAAAACATTCAGAGTATACAATGCTAACAACTGTTAATCTAAAGATGAACATGAGTCAGCTCACACAGAATGGGGAACAAAAATATTAGTAAGAAAATACCCTATTTCTTCATCTGTTATGGAATATTTTCAATTCCACTCATAAATGATTATGCGAAGCAAATCTAATTGTGAAAATATGTTCTATACTTAAATCAACTGGTTGTTGCATGTACATATATAAACAAGTATGCATACTGAACACATCACACATATATGCACATGCTTACATGCATGCACACACCCACTGACATCCTCAGCTAAGAGTCACCTAAAAATTTTTAATTATAATAATCTGTTTTTTATGAGGCATTCTTATTAAATCATTAATTTATATCAGTAGCTTTTCATGAATATTTGCCCATCTTAAAAGTGAACTAAAAGTTTAGTTTTCTATTTCTTATGGCTATGTATGACTACATACATAAAATTTATACTATAAAAATTTTAGCTCTGCAATTTATAACATATAAAGACATATATTCCATTTAAGCCTTTATTAATCTCTTAAGTAGCGGGTGTGACTTTCTTGATGGGAAAAATTATAGCCTACAATAAAATATGTTAAGTTAGATTAATCATAAGAGACTAAGTTTCAAGACCCTGCCTTTAATTTTTAAATTTTACACGTAAAGGAGTAAGAGCTAAGGGTACAGTGATGTGAAGCATAAGCTCCTAAAACACACCTGTGTTATATGAGACCTATGTTTACTTTTTACAGCTTATCTTATGCCAATTTCCCAGACTATTCAATATCTTCAAGTGTTAACATTTATTTCTATGTTCTGTATACACATATACACACACAAGAATTGTTACTTATTAAACCTTCTGCCAAGAAACCTTAATGATTTAAAGGAGAGTGGAAAAAATGATATCTGATTGACTTGGCTGTTGATTTAATCTCTTACAAGTTCATACAGATACCTGCTGTCTAAAATTTCCATCTCAATGATTAAACATGGTGTGGAACCACGCCAGAGGCGCCTGATAGTCAAGGCTAATTAAAGGCCTGTTGTCAATACACTGGACTGTCCAAGACCACGGCGTCTCGTGGCATGCTGTGCCCTTCTATAACCGAAATGACTGATGTCACTATTGGCAACTAGCCTTCTTTGTCTAAGGAGTAATATACAGCTTACTGACTAGCTAGTAGGGAGAGTGTGGGAAGGAGATGAAGCTGGAGAGAGGGAGCTGAGAGCTGGGAGTGCTTCATCTGAGCTCTCTATGAGCTCTCAGCTCAGATATAGCTACGATGTTAACCAGCCTGTGTGCTGGGAGAGTGAAGCTCAGAGGTAGTTACTATGTGAGGCTACAGAGATCCGCTAGTGTGCTGGGCAGGGCAGACAGGAGAAGCTGCTGAGCCAGAGAGCTTAGGTACCGCTATGATGTGAGGCAGTGAGTCTAGAGGGCAGGGTGCGGCTGCTCAGATAACAGCTGTAGGTACAGAGATTAATGTTGCTTTGTAGGAAAGATGTATTTGCCAGCCAGTGTATGGATGCCTATATAGAATCGCTGTGAAAGACTGTGTTGTCTGATGGCTCTGTGGCCACTGGCTTCTGCAATAAAGATTCATTCTTATACACCCACAACTTCTCCTGCTTCTCTGTCTACTCCGCTGCCATAAATTGAATCACGCTTAGAGCAGCAGTGCTCTGCAGTGATCCCGCTGTCTCTAACAATGGCCTATCATCTTTGATAAGGGAAACGGATACCCATTTTAAAAATTAAGTAAATATGTAGTTTTTATTGTGTGTTCAAGTATAGACTAATAGTCTAAGAGATAAATACACAGTTTGAAATCTGTGGTTAAATGTTTAAATCATACTTTTAGCACCAGTTATTAGATGTTTAGCTTTGTTTAAATTCAGTAAATTAGATAAAAATCAATCCCTAACATCACAGTTATATGAATTAAGCGATGATACATGCTTGCTTTGAAAATGTTGACTTCAGAGGCAGTAAATGATAACTATTAATGATTAAAGGATGGCTCAAGGAGACCTTGAGAAAAGCAGTTCATAAATGTATTAATTACTTGGTAACATATAAGGAGACAATGAATATTATAGAGCAAAATGTCAACTGAGAGTAATAAGGAATTGAAACAAGATATTGAAAAACCTTTTAGATTTATAGAAAGCCATATACAATACATGAAAATGTCTAAATATCTGCTCTCTGCCTTCTGCTTATGGTGTGGGTACCTCTGGGTACCTGCTCAGTCTTTAAGCTTTGAAGAAGTCAAATGCACTGTGATAATCAGTTGCACTTTATAATTAAAGCTTAAAACAATTCAAAGTAATCTCTACTTGAGAAAAAAAAAGATTAAAATGATATTAGCTTAATTTTCTCACCAAATGGTATTAATTTTGTTTTGAAAATGATCTGACATTGACTAGCCCATAGGTTTGTAACATTCACTTTAAGTATAATGTAATTCTTAGGGAGGATGGTAACTGCACACTGAAAAATTTATTTCCCTGGAGCTACTGTCTTGAAGCAGTTCTGGTAAGTTAACCTTGCTGGGACAACACCCCATCTCTCTAAACAGGATTACATAGCTTATGACATGGCTACACTTAAATCCTTATTTTGCAAAACTTATGTAATACTTTCAACAAAAGTAAAAAAGTTAAAAACAATAAAATCAATAAACATATCCTCATGTGAGGATAGATAGTAAATAAATAAAAATAAACAAACAAAAAAACTAAATCATAAGAGTGGTAGGCTAACTAAAATAAATCTTAAAATGGTTTTAAATGACTTCACTTTGACTTTTCAAAAATGATATATACAGGGGTGGGAAAAAGTAGGTTTTCAGTTTAATACAAATACATAGTACAATATTTAATAAACTAGTGCCCCAGTGCACAGATTTGTGCACGGATTTGTGCACACTGAAAGGAAGGTAAGGACTGGGCTAGACAGGCCAGGCGCGCCTTGGAGCCAAGCTCCCGAGGTCCCTCCCCAGCCAGCCCCACCTCGGGCAGCTTTGCAGATCAAAGTCATTTGTGCAGTGAGCAGGGGTCCCCCTGGCAGGTGGGTCCCTTGGCCTGGCCTGTGGGGATCGGGCTGAAACCAGCTCTCCAACATCCACCTAGGGGTCCCGGATTGCAAGAGGGCAGTTCTTGGGTGACACACCCAGAATCAAACTCCCTCCTCTCTGGTTCCGCGTGTATCATCTGAGAACCGCCACTGCCAAGTCACCACAGCTCGGCAGCCCAATGCATTGAGCGTCTGTCCCCATGGTGGTCAGTGTGCGTCATACCTACAGGCCGGTTGGATGGTCACTTAGCCTTTTATATATATAGATAATAATACAAGAATACACTTTGTGTTTCGTGTACTCACAACTTTGCCCACACCTCTATATAGAGAACCTTTATTCCTAAAGAGAGTTGATATCTTTTAATCTGTCAAAGAAAGAAAAATCTCCAAATTAATATTGACACAAAATCATGAGTAAACCTCCTTTGACTCTCCAGCAAAAACATAGTTGATATGCTATTCTCATTACTTATTTTTCATTTTATTTAAACTGTATATTGTGGAATAAAATTACCTTTTTTTCTAGATCATTGGTGTGTCAATCTAAGTAGTAAGACAAATGTATAAACATAATATTTATCACAAATTTGGACCTGATTGCATGATTCCATGATTTATACAGAAAATAATAACATTTAGTGATGATTAAAAGTGAACTGAGTTCTTGGATTATGATTACCTATCAAGTATCTCACTGTAAGTAAGATTAATCACAGCCCAGAGAGCTCAAATATCTTATTGTAAACAGAATGATTACTGATTATCATTTTAAAGATTTTATATTATTTTAACAATTTAATGTCAGTAGAAAAATTAAAATATAGAATAAAATATTTTCCAATTCTTCCACAAATCCTTACATTATATTCACATTTTAGGAACATTCTGAATGTTGGCCCATTTTAAACTAACAAAATCACTAAAATACCAGTTGCTATTTCTTTACAAAAAAGATACAAAAATTGAGGAATTCTTAAAAAATTTTCAAAACCCTAATATTAGATAGTTAAAAACCCTTCTTATTTTCTACTATAGATATAATTATTATGTAACTTCCTTTACCTTCTTAATGAAAATATAGCTTACACTTAATATAATCAAAAGATAAGGATGTGTACTGTGCTAAAGACTGTATTTCAGCTGTAATCAAACAGTAGCATAAACAATTTATCTCTCTTAGCCTGTAAGGTGTAATTAACATGAAAATTTTAATTTGTTTGTTTTGTAAATTGGAATTTTTCGCTATACCTTCTACATGCTGAATGATGCATGTGGCATTGAATAAATTGTGCTTTTTGAAAGCATATATTTATTTACCTACACAATATTTGTTGAACATAACTCATTTTCTTTAGATCACTTTTACTCTATATAAATTTTTATTTGAAACTTTGGCATTTGTATCAGATAAATCTACATATTCCAAGAATAAACTCACAATTACAATTAAAAACGTATAAACTGGAACTTATTTTTAGGGGTGAAATTAAAACCATACTTATGAAGTAATTTTTTTTCTTCATAACCCAACAATAACAACTTTTGATTAAAATATGCAGATGAGAAAAGTTAATAAAATTTTAAGTCTGCAATCTATTATAAATTTCTAATAAAAAGTATTAGATATTATTACAAATAAAAAGATTAAAATAATTCTTTCATGTCACATGCTTTGCAATAAATTCCCAATCTATTGATATGGTTGATCTTTGATGAATCTCTATACAAGCAGAGATCATTTACAAGTGCTGTTTATGCTTATATGAATTTTTCT